TTGGTCCTTCGAGCCGGATTTTCAAGTCGAAACCGGCGAATTGCATTATATTGGCAGCATACCGTGTTGCACGCTGTGCTTAAGCTGGTAATTCCATACGCGACCTGCAACTGCATTATGGAAGCATTACTGGCTGGTCAGCAGGAACTTTACGGGCGCATTGCGCGCACCATCGAGAATTTGAAAAAGGCAGGTGTTGCTAAGATAACGCCTGCGCTCATATCTACAACCATCAAGCTTCTCGACGCGAAGTGGGAGAGGTTTGAGGAACAGCATGAGCGATTACGATGTCTTCATTGGGAGGACATGAAGAACCATGAATACTACATGAACGATCTTATGGGTCAAGTTGAGGGCATTTATACTCAACAGAGGTCCGTGCTTCTCGACTATCAAGAGTCGTTGGGCGCCACGGAGGAGACGAAACCAGTGGCTCTCAGCGCGCCTGCACCACCTCGCACGACCTTGCCAAGAATTCAGTTGCCGAACTTCACGGGAAAATATGAAGATTGGCCGGCCTTTCGTGACCTTTTTACATCTCTGATTGCGAAGGAGGCATCAATCTCGGACGTCACGAAGCTACATTATTTGAAGGTAAGCCTGAAAGGAGAAGCGGAACTGTTGGTAAGGAATCTTCCGACAACTGACGAGAATTTCGCTAGAGCATGGCAAACCCTTAAGGACTATTACGAGAACACTCGCCTTCTTGTTCGATCGTATTACGCGTCATTCTCGGCATTGACGAAAATGAAGGCTGAGTCTGCAGCAGAGCTTCGCAAACTGTACCATTGCGTTACGAGTACTGCGGGGGCACTCGAAAGCATAGGACGACCCATTTCGAGCAGCGAAGACCTTTACGTCTTCCTGACGGTCGAGCTGTTGGACCCTCGCTCACGACGCGAGTGGGAAACACACATTGGTGACACTACTGAGCCACCGACCTTCGTGGAGCTGCGGCAGTTTTTGGAGCGTCGGCTTCACACTCTGGACGCATTACAGACTACCAAGCCGGAAGCCGTGCCGGGAAAGCCAGGTGACCGAACAACAAAATCCACACGCACACACCTTGCGCAGCGAGAGAAGGAGCGCTGTAGCATGTGCCGGCGCGACCACTTTTTGATGCTGTGTGAGACGTTCAAGGGGAAAACCGGCAAGGAGAGAAAGGATCACGTGGACAGTATGCAGCTGTGCCACAACTGTCTAGGAAAGCACAGGGTGAGTGATTGTCAATCGAGGAAGTTCTGTACCGTGTGCGGGGAGCGTCACCACACGACCTTGCATGACGCTTATCGTACGCCATCGAGTGACTCAAGCCAGACGAGCAGTGCGGCGACGAAAACGTCCCACGTTGCTCTTCCCGCGCCGGAAAGGCAGCTTGCAGTTCTTCTCGCAACTGCGCGTGTTGGCATTGCCGATCGGTCCGGAGACCTTCAAGCCGCGCGCGCATTAGTTGATCAGGGGTCTGAGTCCTCAATCGTGTCAGAGGCTTTCGCGCAGCGACTGCGGCTTCCGCGCACTCGGGCATCCACAGCCGTGTACGGAGTGGGGGGGCAGCAGGCGGCCATCGCGCGGGGACAAATCTCCTTGAAAATTGCGTCGCGCCTCGGCGATTTCGTGACGACAGCAACGGCGATAATCTTGCCGCGACTGACCGTGTACGCTGGGGTGGCAAGCACCGCGGTGGCGGATTGGCCGCACCTCAGAGACCTGCAACTCGCCGACCCTGAGTTCTTCGCATCCGAGGAAATTGACGTTCTTCTCGGCGCCGATGTCTACGCCTCCATTCTCGGTCCGGGTGTCCGAAAGGGGGGTGAGGGTGAACCGGTGGCGCAGGAGACTGCGCTCGGGTGGATCGTGTCGGGCACGGTGGACGTGGTCGCATCGCACACGATCACCCATTTGCATCAGTGCACGCTAGGCGAGCCATTATCGGTCCTCGTGCGTAGTTTTTGGGAGCAAGAGGAGGTGTGTCAGCGTCCGATGCCACTGACCCCTGAAGAGCAAGAGTGTGAGGACATCTATGCTCGAACGCACTTCCGCAACTCGGAAGGCCGATATGTAGTGCGACTGCCAGTCCGAGCGCCCCTTCCTGATCTCTCCTCCACACACCGAGCCGCTGCTCGCATGCTCACTCAGATGGAGGGACGCTTCGCACGAGACGCTCGGCTGCGGTCGCTGTACTCGGAGTTCATGGAGCAATACGAGGCTTTGCAACACATGTCTCGGGTGAAAGATGCTGAGGTCAAGAGCGCGAAATGTTACCTGCCACATCATGGAGTACTGAAGGAGGCCAGCACAACCACGAAGTTACGAGTCGTGTTCAACGGATCCCTGACTACTCCAGAAGGACACTCTCTCAACAACCATCTAATGATTGGCCAAAATTTGCTGCCGCCACTGGCTGATGTGCTCTTGCGATGGCGTTGGCACCGGTACGTCTTCGTTGCAGACATCGAGAAGATGTACCGCCAAATCCTGGTGCATCCGGCAGATCGTGACCTTCAACGGATTCTATGGAGAGACGCGCGAGAGAAGGCGGCGCTGGAGTATCAGTTGAATACGGTGACATACGGAATGGCATGCGCGCCATTTCTGGCCATTCGCACCTTACGCCAACTGGCCGACGATGAGAGTTCGAGGTTCCCAAAGGGTGCTTCAGCACTGAAGCAGGACACGTATGTGGACGACATCCTCACTGGGGCGGCGACATTAGAGGAGGCGTGCAGCCTTCGGCAGCAGCTCATTGGCGTTTGCATGGCGGGCGGCTTTCCGTTGAAGAAATGGGCAGCAAACGACGCGCGACTTCTTGCTGGTATCCCGGACGACGACCTTGCACAACCGGACCCACGAGCAACAGCATCAGGGCCATTCGGCTCTGGGACTGCAATGGCACCCGGGCTCGGACAGTTTCTCTTTCGTTCCGCGGCCCGGCAAACCTCAAGTCGTAACTAAGCGCTCGATTCTCTCTCAGGCGGCCCAATTGTTCGACCCACTCGGGTGGTTGGCGCCGGTGGTGGTGCAAGCCAAAATGTGCATCCAGGCCACATGGTTGCAGGGGCTGGATTGGGACACCCCGCTACCGGATGACAGCGCGAAGCGGTGGATCACGTTTTTGGACGAGCTCCCCCGACTAGTGGAAATACAAGTGCCTCGATGGCTCTCCTGCTCCTCCGTCGGGGAAACGCTGGAGCTCCATAGATTTGCGGACGCCTCCGAAAGAGCCTACGGCGCTGCCATCTATCTGCGAAGACGAGGGAGTGATGGATGGCGTTGTTCATTGATGACCGCTAAAACAAGGGTGGCCCCACTTAAGCAAATCTCACTACCCCGACTGGAGCTATGTGCGGCCAGCCTTTTAGTGCGGTTGGTGATTCACGTGCGGGAAGTCCTGACATTGTCAGGTAAACCAATCTACTTGTGGTCGGATTCTACCGTCACGCTTGGATGGATACGTGGACATCCTTCCCGCTGGAAAACCTTCGTGGCCAACAGAGTATCTGACATTCAGACGACACTCCCGGATGGCCAGTGGCGCCACGTCGCAAGCGAGGATAATCCGGCGGACTGTGCATCTCGGGGCCTGTCCCCTGGAGAGCTTGCGCAACATGTCCTGTGGTGGCGTGGTCCTGCGTGGTTGACCGGCAACGACGACTCGTGGAGAAATGCGAAGGCGACTGCCGGTGACGGAGAGCTCCCGGAACAAAGGCTCAAGGTTCATGTTGGGACATCACTGGATCTCGAGGAGGAGGTGGAAGTGCTACAGAGGTACTCCACCCTTCAACGAGTGTTACGTATCGCTGCTTGGTGCCGGCGATGGTTGCTTGCCTTGAAGAGTGACCGCGATGAGACTCTGAAGACGAGGACGCTGTCAGCGGACGAGATTGACCAGGCACTGCTGTCGCTGGTCCGACTGGTGCAAGCCAGACACTACTCTGGGGAACTGGAGGCGGTGAGAAAGGGGAAGCCCTTGAGTACGAGAAGCCTACTCACGAAGCTGAATCCGTTCCTGGAGAAAGGCGTTCTGAGGGTCGGAGGGCGGATAAAACATTCCCTACTCGCCTTCGATGAAAGGCATCCCATAATCCTACCTCGACGCTCCATCCTCTCGACGCTTGTGATCAGATCCTGTCATTCCAGAACTCTGCATGGGGGAGTCCAACAAACGCTCGGGCTTCTCCGCCAAAGATTTTGGATTCCAGGCGGCCGCCTCGAGGTCAAGGCATGCATTCACAGGTGCCTGCGGTGTCTGCGATGGCGGGCGGCAATACCTCAACCTTTGATGGGGGACCTACCGGAGTCGAGAGTGACGCCCTCGCGGCCATTTCAGTTCACCGGCGTGGACTACGCCGGGCCCGTGATGTTGCGCACTTCCGGGGGACGAGGACACAAAGCGCATAAGGCGTACATCGCTGTCTTTGTGTGCTTCTGCACGAAGGCAGTTCACCTTGAGGTCGTGTCAGATTACACGACCGACGCATTCCTGGCCGCTCTCCGACGATTCACCTCACGTCGGGGCGTGTGTCAGGTGCTGTATTCCGACTGCGGCACCAATTTTACAGGAGCAGATGCCGCACTCCGAAGGATGTTTTCGGCCAGTAGCAGGGAAGCTCGGAGCATCGGGCGAATCTTGGCGGAGGAGCGGATACAATGGCGCTTTAACCCGCCGGCAGCCCCACACTTTGGCGGACTATGGGAGGCGGCCGTCAAGTCGCTCAAGCACCACCTGAGGCGAGTGGTTGGCGAATCAACACTTACGTTCGAGGAAATGGCCACCCTCCTCGCTCAAGTGGAAGCTTGCCTCAACTCGCGGCCATTGCATCCACTGAGCGACGACCCGGACGACCTCACAGCCTTGACGCCGGGCCACTTCCTGGTGGGATCAGCACTATCGGCAATACCGGAACCGTCGCTGGAGGAGGTCGCAACCAGCCGCCTGTCACGCTGGCAGCACTTACAAAAAATGCGCGGGCACTTCTGGGACCGATGGTCCAGCGAGTACGTGCATACCTTGGCTGCCAGACCCAAATGGTGGAAGGGTGCGACCGCTCCGACAGAGGGTCAACTATGCCTCATCCGGAACGAGACGACCCCCCCGACGAAGTGGCCACTCGCAAGGATCACGGCAGTACACCGCGGACGCGACGGGCATGTGCGCGTGGTCTCGGTGCGCACTGCCACGACCAGCTTTACAAGACCGCTTGTAAAAATTGTTCTCTTACCTGTCGAAAGCGAACGGGAGAATCAAAAGTAATATTAAGCATCATTCAGTTACATGATCTTGGCTCTCTTCTTACGTAACTGCATAAGCTTTCGAGCACTGCACTTAACTTGTCAACACCCACCAGCTGTCATAATCATGTACATTCATAAACACCGCGCGCCGCGCCACGGCGTGGATCATTGGCAACCAAGTAAGGAGAGCAACAATTTCGTCGGTGTTACCAACGAGGCGGGCGGAATGTTCGGAGTTGCCCGATCATAATTAATTGCACCGTGTTTCGCGCGCGCCGCCCAGCGGCTTCCGCGCGAACCACGGGGCGAATCTCTACTGCCAAACGTCTCCCGGCGCCTTATGGGGAGAATTCGAATGTCATGTTGGAATCTGGTCAACAACTGTTGTTGTTGAACTAAAAAATCATCCGACTGCTCTCACGACTCTGGAATGTTTCTCCCCATACGTCACTTCCCCATAGAGGAGTTTCGAGAACATTCTAGAGTCGA